TCAACTGGACCCAGTCATGATCAGTACCGTACCGGTTACTGCTGTAGAATCAGCAGAATCTACTAAGTAATAGGGAGCAGACGGAAAGAGTTTGCCTCGGGGGATATGGGCGGAACGGCGTTTTTTGACTCTACTCTGTCAATGATTAACGCGGAGCACGAGAGCAGTACGGTGTACGGTGCTGAGGTTTGTCTGATGGTCGGCGGGCATCGCAACAGCCGACTTCGGCTCAAATGTGGCTGTGCCACACAATCATACACGCCACCTCAGTGAGTGGAAGCTCTCGCTGCTTCCTTAGCTGGTGCGGTGAGCTGAAGTGAACAGAATGCCTGACTTCGGCTGCCCGAAATACCACTAACTTTTGCAGGCGGGTGCGAAGGTTTTTTGCCAACCCATCGACATTTGGTCGGATGCATTCGTAATTCTGGATGCAAAATTTGAGCTTATAGACTTGAAACATTTCAGGTTTATTGGCTCAGCCTAAGGTTTAGAATTGTGGATACACTCCGGACAAGTATGGGGGAATTATCTATGATCTAGGTGGTCGGGTCGGGTGTTGAAACGCCCTACATAGCTGCAGTTATGTGAGGGAAGTAGCATGCGATTCGACAGCGCAGTGGATAACAGTGGGGTCCAGTACGCGCAAGGTCGATGGTTCTGATTTTTTAAACGTCAGAAATGAGAAGGCTCATTTCATGTCGGTTTTTGCACGTCTGAAATACTTGGAATGTGGACAGAGGATTCGTAAACAATTTAGCAAGACAGCAGCCGCACAAAGGAGTCTATCTCTTCCCCTGCAGACCGGAGACGAGACCTTTACCCACTGCGCTTCTGAAGCTGTGCACCTAAATCCTGGTTCTGAAACTTGGCTTCTTCTTCGTCTTCTTCTTTCTGGCGCCGTCTCAGGCTCAGCTGTTCTCACAGGCTGCCTTCTTTTTGTTTTGTGTGGTAGCGGGCTTCACCCGGCCACATTTGTATGAGTCCAATAATTCTCAAGTAAACAGAAATGTTTTCGACTTGGACGGTGTAAAAGAGACGATATGCACTACTAAATGCGAGAGGTTTTCTGATTGACATCAGAGTGGGTTAGCGGACTCGGGATAGTCGCAACTGGATGAAGCTGGTCAAGTCAAAGGGCTGCTGAGCCGTCCCAACAGTTATACTTCACTATTTGAGGTAGTAAAATCGTTTTCTCATAGTACTGTAGAGCTGAACTCATCACCCTTCCCCCTCTCAATACTCCGTTCTACTACGATTTCGCATGACATACTCGGCCAACACAACGGTTTTCCTCTGAACTTCTTCCATTTTCAGTTATAAAATATTCAGGAATCTCTTCGGATTTTCCTGGCCCTCTGTCAACACCCAAATCAGCTTAGAAAAGTTGCAAAGCCGTTTCCAGTTGTATTCTAGCCGAAAGAAAAAGGAAATTGAGATAACACATAGGTCATTAGACCTAATTAACAATGACATATAACCCATCTTTAAAAAAAATTATAAAAATTTATCAATTGAGATTGGCACTGATTGATGCAATACGATCATAGTTGATATTCACAAATTTCATCGGGTTTCTTGAGCATATATTGGAGAGCTGGATTGCTGAGGTACAGTATCAAGAGGTAATACATAATATTTAGGAAGATATTGTTACTAACTCGACTACGGTAACAGTGAGGTAGTATGGAAAGGATTTTTTCAAATTCCAACTCAACAACCATCTTTAACTACAGATTGAGCAATACGGTATCGTTCAGGTAACTACAAAATTCATAGGGATTATGAGCAAGTTAATGAATATATTCTTTGTTCAAGGCACGACCAATTATCAATCGTCGAACCTGAAAAGTTCAAGGGTAATATTGATTTATTGATTCTCTAAAACTAAATTCGTAGCTTACTTCGCTTGTACCAGCTCCTATTTCATATAATTTTGCATCTCGTAGTAATCGTCCCGTAGGATAGTCATTGATATAGCCATTTCCACCTGAAAACTTGCCCGAAATATTTGGGTGAGTTGATGGACATCTCAAGAATACTCACAAAATCGTGAAAGAAAATTGACTGGCAAGACTAGAAAGATGGCATACCGAGAATTTGAACAGCGTCCAAACAAACTTGCGTACACTTCTCTGCCAAATACAGTATAACACCAGCACAATCCTAGAATATACTGCGGATTTGCTCAATTGAATATTCAGATAGTTCAGATTTCAGCTCAGTTCTGCAGAACGGATGTGGTGTAGCGCCAAATGGTGCACTGGCACACACATGGTCCAGAGACCAAATACCGGATCGACACCTACCCAGGACAACTGAGCCTATCATCTCAGGGTCAATTCCAGATTTACCGGGGACGACAAAAGCACCTGCTTGCGCTTCAGCTGTCTACAGTAATTCACTATATAGGCCCTAAAGGCACTCAAAGCTCGACTACGATTCTGAATGCACGATTGATTCTATCCCAAGCCAATCGCGCCTCGCGTCCCTTCGAGGGCCATCAATAGGTACTATGTACCATGCTCACCGGCAAGAAAAGAAATTGATTTTACATTGACAGATTATATCAACAATTTGAGAACTGAATTCCGAATTCGAAAAACGCCGCAAGATTTCAGGTCAGAGTAGCTGAAATGGTGTTTTCAGTGGATTATCGGTAATGAGCTGCCGTTGTTTCGGTTATTTTGTTGCTTATTTACTCTTTGTTGTGTACTAGTACATCATGACAGGCGAGATTTGTAAAGATAAAAGTTCAAATGTCCCGATGAATTACAAAAAAAATTTCAAACAGAATCTCTGAAAAGCCATATACTTCCTAGGTTAGTGTCAGCAAAAAATTGCCATTCTACCATTCCACCTGCGTCCGAGATTCGATCCACGAGTTGTGTGTCTATATCTGCCGCGCCACTTGTCACTGCACTATCTCCGCAGTCGTCTGTAAAAAGAGCTACGTACCTTATTGGAGACATGTCCATTATCAACTGCTTTAGCCACTGTATACAAGTAAGCCCGACAAGCATTCAACGTCGTATACATATCAGCCATTTTTCCTTGCATCAACTGAAAAATTGTTTTTATTGATTCGGTCGATTCAGTGTAATGGGCGGGTAGTGGCTTAGTGTGATGGGCGGATAAGGGGTTGGTTTAGGTACCTGGAATGTCCCTATGGGAGTACCGAATGCTTCTCGATGATGGGCATATTGGAAGGCGATATCACAAGCAGCTTGCATCAGCCTGTAGTCAGAATTTTGGAATTTTTGTAATTTTACAGAATAAATGTAGAATAAGTTACCAAACTCTTGTCAAAAAGGATTCAAAAAGAAACTTCTAGCCACATCATACCCCAGTGGTCCACCGGAAAGCACGAGACGTTCGAGATCGAGGCCGGTCATCAGGACGTAGACACCTTTCCCGACACCGCCCATTACATTTTCTTCTAAATTTCGTCCAGATATTAAGAGAAATGATTAAGCCTAGGCTATCGATTTTACGCACCTGGTACTTCGCAATTGTCGAAAACCAGTTCACAAGTGTTCGAACCACGCATCCCTAACTTATTCAGTTTCGGCGATGTTGAGAACCCTTTGAATCCCTGGAAAATATGGTCTTGAACGCCTTCAGATTAGTATGGAAAAGCAATCTCCCACAAACTGAAAAGGACCTTTTCAACTAGGAAGGCGGTGATTCCGTGTTGATGCAATTTCGGGTCGGTTTTTGCATAAACCACCAGAACATCAGCATCAGGGCCATTTGTTATCCAGAATTTTGTCCCATTCAGGATATACCTGGAACAAGAGAACTAGCTAATTCTACGATTTGCACTGATAATAAGATACTGTAGAGTGGTACTGTATGATACCGAACTTATCACCGTGTTTATCTGCTCTCAACCGCATACTGACCACATCGGACCCGGCATTTGCTTCCGACATTGCCAACGCTCCAACGTGGTCACCGCTAATCAGCTGAAATTGATCGATACGATGAACTTTCCGTCCAGCTGCTCTCCTATCAATTTTGAAGGGGGTCTTATACAGCTCATTGCGAAGTTCACAGACAAAGCTGGATCGCTACTGAGCGTCAACCCACACAGGACTGGGAGTTGATCCATGAACCATGTACCTGTAGTGGCTGCGCCAATTGCCGCTGCACTTTCCGCTACTACACATTCAGACATGATCAGTTATTCCAGCCACCAGGGGCTCTGTGGCGGGAATACCTTACCACAGATGAATAAGAAGCAGCGAGAAAAGGCGCCGATATCCATACACCCTCCATTCGTGGATGCCATTCAGTTCGGCTGATTCCCTTTTTCTGATAGACGGGAAATTTCGGATTGTCTTCCCTTCTTAGGGACAATGGCGCACCAGAAATGAACCAATTTCACTATCAAGCAAGGTCACGAATCAACAGTGCCATCCACAACAATTTTTGAAAAATATCGATTTTACGCGCGGACACGACATTAGTAGTGCTCGGAAGTTTCATCGTGAATTACCACCTACCTTGGGCAAATATTTTTCCTTCTGTTTTTGAGAACCGTTGCGAACAATCTGATTCACACAAAGGTTTGAATGAGCGCCATAAGAAAGTGCTATCGAGCCACTTGCACGAGACAATTCCTCCATGACAAGTACATGCGAGAAGTAGTTCATGTGGGAACCACCGTATTCAGCTGTAAAATCGAGGATACTTATGAAATCATTTGAGGTATCGTAAAAAATCTGAGTGAGTTTTGACAATTGTCTCCCCAGTAACATAGACATTACTAAATGTCTTCGGACAGAACTCCACTTCATAGACCAAAANACAATCTGATTCACGCAAAGGTTTGAATGAGCACCATAAGAAAGGGCTATCGAGCCACTTGCACGAGACAATTCCTCCATGACAAGTACATGCGAGAAGTAGTTCATGTGGGAACCACCGTATTCAGCTGTAAAATCGAGGATACTTATTAATCATTGAGGTATTGTAAAAAATATGAGTAAGTTTTGACAATTGTCTCCCCAGTAGCATAGACATTACTAAATGTCTTCGGACAGAACTCCACTTCATAGACCAAAAAGTTCCTCACCCCTATGCAGCGAACGCTATGTTTCTTCCTATTCTAGAACGTTATGAATAGATTATGATAATTATAGAGAAACACATGATTTTCGTGGAAAATTCAACAAAAAGAGATGGAAGGTAGCAGTGGCACCTCCAAAGTCGAGAGAGTGGAAGTATGGAAGTCATTAGGGAAGTTTTGATTGGCCGGAACTAGTTAAAATAGAAAGTGTGGTTGTCGGGGAAAAAGTTCAGACTCACCCGGAGCTGTAATGCCCAGTAACCCATGTTCCCCAAGCTTCTTCCAAAACGATCGCAAATCCTTGAACTCGTTCGATTGATCGATTTGCTGTGCGTGTGGAGCCAATTCTTTGTCAGCGAAATCACGAACGGATTTTCTCAGCTGAAATTGATTGAATAGCAACATTCCCAAGAAGTGTGTGGTTTAAAATTTGGGACAATTCGCCCAAAACAGCGTCAGAACTACCCCACAGGTCAGTTGCAGTAACTCAGAGCTACAGCACTGCAAAAGGCTACCTGGCTGTATATTTCTCCATGGGAATCTCGACCCATTCTATTAACAGATTGGGAGAACCCTGCCATAAAAAACGGTCTACCCTCAGTGGGAACAGGCATCCCAGATACCCTGCGGTTCAGCGGCTGCAAGTTAGCCAGGCCAACACTCAGCAACTGTATGTATTTTCCTCTGATTTATAACCTCATTTCCTTAGTGAAAGCAGCACACTTTCCACGCTATCCCATCAGAATTCATCTGACTTCACCCAAAATATCCGACTGCCTTCAGAAGGGAATTTTCAACAGAAACACCGCCTTCTACACATTTGAAGATCTTACCGCTATATCATCTTCGCTAAGACCGAACATGGCATCGGAAATCGGATAAGCCGACATTTGACGACAAGACGCCAATTGACGTGTTGCCCCACGAAGGACTGTCGACAGCGACATGGTGTACCTTGAACAAAATTTTTTAAAACACCTCTTGATATATGGAATAAACGAGAAAAAGACGAGAAGTCTGTCCTAATTATTTTCCGAAATAATCGAGAAATGAAATTGGCCGTGAAATTCCAATATCAGTCAAAACAAAAAGTTCAAATTGTTGCTAACATGGCTTACGCCGAAACGATACAAAGCACGAAAAGCTCATCAAGCCAAAGAATTAGTAAACAAGCAAAAGATTCAAACAAATAAATCAAATAATGGCTTTGAAAAATGAAAAATAAGTAAGCATAATTGTAAGCTTAATAAATAATAATTACTAAAAAAATTGACCCTTTTTGAATCTTGGTGATGGTGCTATGTCATGAAACGTCCAACATATAAAGGCACAAGTAAATGAATGGATCAATCAAACATAATGTTTAAACGAATAGATAAATGTATAAAAAGTCAATAAAGGAATAAATAAGTAGGTTCAACAAACATTTACATAAATGAGTGATTTTAAGCATTCCATCAACAAGTGAATCAATGAAAAATAGGTGAATAAACAAACGAATAGATAAATCAATAGAAAATAGGGAGAACTGCCAGAAAACCAAACAACAGCATCGATCCGGACGTTACTGAACGGGCACTTAAATATGCACTGTTGGGATCTGAGCGAATGTCGTGAACATGGCACAACTCTACATCACTTCCGATGGTTGGCATTGTTATCATAGAAAGGCACCCTTGCTTTTTTTTCATTTTCTTCACGTGGACGGCTGATTTTACGATGCCAACTTGCTTATCGCTACTTTTCGAGTCGATCAGCCA